GGATGACAGTTGATTCTCCTTCTCTCCAGACACATTTGCAGAGTCATCTGTGGGTGTTATAACCGTAGCTCAAGGGTAGACGGAATCCGAGGGCTTGGCCTCAGCTCGTGCGCTGTGCCCCTTACCCAAGTACGTGCCCTTAATTTCAGAATGAAGTCCAGATGGAATCCGACGAAGTCCGAAGGACTTCTGGAGGCTGGCTACTCTAGTAGAGTGCTAGAGGACTTCCGGATGAGTGGCAAGAAACCTCCAGAGCAGTATAGGAAACTCCGGAGGAGTTCCACATTCCGCTGTATCAGATCCGAAGGTAAGACTTCCCAAGGTAAGTTCCTAGATAGAACACATAGAGGATGGGCTTGCAAGGGACAGAGTCCAAAGCAGGATAGGATAAGAGGAGTGGTTCCAAAGGACAGGACGTCCGGAGGTCCAAAGGTTTAAGACATCCGAAGGGTACATCGTCCGAAGGTTACGATGTCCGAAGGTCCAAAGGTGTACGAGGACCGGAGGAGCGGACAGGATTAGGACAGGAGGGGAAAGGCTACTATGGACAAGGTCCGGAGTAGAAACAAACAGAGGTAGACTACACTATGGTAGAGTCGGATAGACGGGGTTTAGACAGAAGTCTCGGAAAGACAGGAAGTGCCGGAAAGGCAAAACTTCGGTCTAGGGAATCAATCCCTAGACTTCAGAACAGAGACATAGGGGACAAATCCGAAGGTCCGGATTTCTGGCCTAGGGAATCCATCCCTAGGCCTTGATGGAAAGGCAGAACTCAGATGGACCAAAGTCCAAGACAAGAATGAGTGAAGTCTAAGATGCAAGGGAGCAAGTCTATGTTGAGACAGAGCAAAGTCTAAGGCGATATTCAAACTAAGGAAACTTTACAGGAGTTGTGCAGATCTTTATATACTGGAAGGGATCCGAGAGGATTGGTAAGCCGAACACAAATGCTATGTACGAGCATGTGGAAACATATTAGTAAGTATGAATGGAACATAAGTAAATGAACTCGGATATGAACAGAGTACAAGGATCAATAAGCAAGACGGAAACAGAGATAACCAAAGTCCGGAGTCAAGGGGATTACCATAAGGAGATAGACGCTGATTTAAGGTTTGGGCTTCGGATATGAGTATAGGTCGGATCCAGAGGTCTAGAGATATCGGATGAAGCATCTGGATATCGGATGAGCGGATCCGGAGATCTAGGTGAAGACGAGACTAGGATATGGATCATGGATATAGACTGATAGTCTAGGGAAGGTAGAGTCTGAGATGGAATGAGCTCAGATCCGATTGGACTAAGGGTGGATGAAGCAGGCTTAGCTGCGGAGGTCCGAAGGTATTGATATATGGATGTATGAAGGTGTACGGACCCAAACCAATAGTGGACTGGAGGACTGAAGGCATGGATATGGGTATGGAGTCATGGATGAGGGTATGGAGGTCCGGATATCGGACGTAGGTCCGGAATACGGGATATGACAGTGGGCGCCTTGCGCTTGCGGGGCTTGCCTACATCTCCACACTTCTTACGAACTGTACCGATGGCCTCTCCTGCTTCTTCACGCCTCTGGAGTTCCTCCTGAAAGTCTTCAATCTCCTGTTGAGTGAGTTTCTTCCACTGACAACTGCCGATCTTTAGAGTGTCTCAGAGTGTGCGAACTTCCACAACAGCGTGCAAGTGGGAGGGTGCAATGAAGGGGAGGCCTACAGGCCAGCCGTCTAGCTTGATACCATAGACCAGTACAATCGCCTTATCATAGTTCTGATAATTCATGGTGATGTCCATTTTATACCGGTTGCACGTCCTGCATTATGGTAAGCAGCTAGCAATAGGACATACAATATATATATATGGAGTTCACTTAAAATGAGTGTAGCCGCCTGTCTCTGCAGGCTAGGTAGATCCGCACACACAACAATATCTGCTCACACTGTCTTGATAACCAAGGGTCTTATATAAATACGTGTAAGAATGTAATGACACCTACAATTACACTTGATAAGACTTCTTGCCAGTCCTCAATTAACACGGTCTACAACTTTTCTTCTTTCATGGTAGATAACGTGTGAGTTCTTGGGAGGCTCGCTAAACCAATCAATTAGATTAACTTAGCTGGAGCTTTATTATCTCTGATTGAAACTATGGGATTGTCTAGGATATACCATCTAGACACTGGAACTGGTTTCCTGAATATACAATAAACTGTTGAGAAGCTGGTCTCAAATGTGACTACAATGACCAAAGCTTGTGTTGGTCAATATACAAATACCTGGTGAGAATGCTGGTCTCACAAATGACAACGATGACCAAAGCTTGTGTTGGTCAATAAACAATACGGGGTGAGAATGCTGGTCTCACAAAACTGAATTTCTATCGCAAGAAACTTATGTAATCTCAAGGGAAATACTGTCCCTGCACTTGTCTGGACAGTACTTAGAAAGAAAATGTGCTTTCTAAGCAGCAATCTGTTCAGTCTGAAGCTTCTTAGGTGAGAGTTCAATTGGTTCGAGTGGGAGATTCTATTTTTTGGGAGAGAATGGACTCTCCTTATATATGTTTTGTGTGGGAATATTATGTAAGTAAAAAGGTGATGTAATGACTTCAGAATGTGAGAAGAATATTCCAAAAACTGGAGCAGAATGTTCTAGCAGGTGCAAAAGAACATTCCAGAATATTCATGGTGGGATAATGACATCATTCTGAGTCATTGGAATGTTCTAGCAAATTCCATAGAACATTCTGGAATTGACGACATCATTATGACATCACTATGACATCATATCTTTCAACAGAATACCTGCAAGAGTGTGTGTGAAGTCCTATGACATCATTATGATATCATATCCTGTAGGTACAAATTTATGAAGCATCTGATTAGTCAGAGCATCCTAATAGAAAAGTAAAGCAAAGAAACACTAGAGAAAACTACTCAGAAATAATGGAACAAATAATAGTACACAATACGCTGGGCTTTTTAGATAGGTTTTTGTTAGGCTTTGAACTTTTCTCTATGGGTTTCTCTAGCCAAAGTGAATAAGCCAAAGAAAAGGCAATACCTTAACCTTCAATTTGCTTCTCATATCAACCAAGCCATTATGTGATTCCCATCTCACATATGACTTTCTTCAAAACACAGTAGATTCATGAATCACTGAGGGAAAACTGAAACTATTGGACCAAGGTTTGATACCAAGGTATGGGTTGACTAGTCTGAAGACTAAGCTAACAGACTTTGTCTGTTAGGGGGATACCTAGTAGTCATGTCCATGCATGATTCCCTATTCATGCAGGACAGTGCACATTGTTAGCAGAATTGCCGAATGAAAACACAACCACGTACTTTTTTTCTGAATGCACGCCCATTCCTCAAACTGACGGGCCATGTCGTCAAGAGCCACCTCCATCCAATCCTCCCAAAACTCTGATGCATTGTCTGTCACAATCCACGTCGACTGTATTTGATCGTTAACATGTCCCTGAACCATCAGAACTGTGGCATAGATTCCAGTTCTGTCCTGTAGCGCATGACACTGTAAGACAATGAACAAAAATATTTAAACTAAAGGTCTTCATACTTACCTCCTTCAACACACCATCCATCACTGCAACAGCGTCTCGAGCAGCTGCCATGTTGCTTGCTCATACATCACTGGTTTGCATTTCACGGTAATCCATCAGTTGCTTGATAAAATCCTTCTTCTGCTCGCGAGACAGGTTGGGCATGTTGGGATCATCAGCAACCATTTTTTGAATTTCAGCCATGGTGTACTTCTGGCTGTGCACAAGACCTTGACTATGGATCAGACATCGATCTTAATGAAATGTGAGATGTATACCTTCATTGACTTCTTTGGATTTGGCATGGACAAGGGCGTTTCGAAGCTGCAGCTCGCGTGCCTTCTTGTAGTGAGTTTCAAGGCCAATCAAATTTTTGACGTGGTCGTCGGAGACGTGGTGAGCGAGCGCTGAGTCGTGAAGTTTCTTCCCTTGCTCCTGGACAAACTGTGTGATAGCTTCTTGAAGGGCCTTTGACTGTTCCTTGTTCTGTGCAGTCTTCAGCGCATGAGATGCTTTTTGAGCTTTGGTGAGGCGTCCACCACCATTGGACCGCGTAGCAATCACTGGATGGGTGGGGTTACGAGCAGCCCAAGAGGAATTATTACCTCTATCCATCATGCGGTCAGTGAAAGAAACTGGAGTGAGATTGGGGTCATCATTGTCAGGTAGGGTTTCTGATGCGCCTTGTGCAGGACTTGGAGAACAGATATTCGAGGGGTCCAGAAGAGTTGGCGATGGGTTTGTATTCGAGTCCAATGCCTCAGAGGGATGCGGAAGAGTTGGTGACAGTGTTTGTATTCGAGTCCAAGTCCTCATTGAACCCTTGTGTATCTGTGAGTGAAGATAATAAGTCTGATGGGAGGCCCGCAATCATTTCAGTCATGGCATCAAACAATGAAGGATCTGTGATCTGTCCAGTTGAATGATGAGGTATTGAAGTTGCCCATTCTCAGTGGCTCCATTCGTGAAGCTGAATTAAAACTAAATGGAAGATGAGGCGAAGGCACCACAATATTGGCGCCATTTTGACATGCTATAGGACATGAACAGTGAGAAATACAAATGCTAGGATCAGACGTACCATCACTTTGCGAAGCTGAATTCAAAGTAAACGGAAAATGAGGCAAAGGTGCCACATTATCGGTATCGGCGCCATTCTGAGATGCTATAGAACATGAATTAGTGAAATATACAAATGCCAGGATGAAACGTACCATCACAAGTCATCAAAACTCCATCAAAATTGAAACTCGGGACATCTGCCATGTTGAAGAATTTGTTGATGAACAAGTGTGTCAACATGCACCATGGGAGCACTTTGGTCACCCCATTTCAGGTACCTCTTAGGTTGTATTATACCTATAGAGGTTTTCACCTAGGGGGTGCTTTTTGGGTGGTCCGGCCAATGTTTTCTGGTCTTTCCCCAAGTGCATAAGGTCCAAAATGAAATGTATTGAGCATGGTCCAGGGATCAAAATAATTTTTACATGGGAAAGACCACCAGCCAACTTTAGACCATGCATACATTGGGAATTCCCCATGGTGTAGGGGTGTCAGGGGTCCTATTATGACCAAAAATTTTGGGCAAAAAAAAAACACTTTGGTCCTCCTCAAATGCCAATTTCTTTGAAAATTTCTCACTATATGTATTGCATCTATGCCCTGCGCCCTCCATAAACAAATCCTCATATATAATTCAACAATATATCTGGTGGGTATATGAAAAAAATGAAAGTCATTACTTTAGTTGAACCTCTTAATGAAAGTTGTAGTATGTGTCAAGGCAAGTCTATATGTCATAATATCTTATCAAAATTTTGACAGGAAGGTGAGATATGGCTGTAACAAAAATCGTTGTCGGGCTTGTTTACAAAAAAAAAAGTCATTATCCTTGATGAAAGTTGTAGTCCTAGTGAGGGTAGGTCTATACCTGCATATATTTTGTTAATTTACTATCATTTGGGAAATATATAAGCTTTGTGCAAAAACAATAAACAGGGAAGACCACATGCTTAATGGGAAAGACCATGGGTATAGTATTTGTCTAATAGGGAAGACCACAAGCTTAATGGGAAAGACCATAGGTGTAATATTCATCCAATAGGGAAGACCACACATTTAATGGGAAAGACCATGGGTATGATATTTGTCTAATAGGGAAGACCACATTTCAATGGGAAAGACCATAGACATAATATTCATCCAATAGGGAAGACCACAAGCTTAATGGGAAAGACCACACTTGGTTAAAGACCACAGCAACTCACTTGTGGTCTAAAAGACAAGCCCGACAACGATTTTTGTATTGCTTATAACTCACTGAAATCACATGCAATTGCTTAGATAATGCAATATACATTCCCACCCCAAGTAGTACTACATATTTTATTAAAACATCCGTGGGAAAATTATGATGTTATGGACACATAGTCTATTTTTGTCCTCTTATTGAGTCACCTCACAGTCAGGGGCATTACCACACATCAGATTTCAAAATTTCAGGCACCTGTGGTAATTCCCCCTTAGTGTGTCATCCCCTATAGTTCATAAGTCCCCCACAGTCAGGGACATTACCACACAGCATGATTATGCAATTTCAGGATCATACATCAGATTTCATCAGGGGATCTACATAGTTACCACATCATATCTTAATTTCGCAATTTTGACCACTTACTCCACAACATCTAAAATATCACCATTTTGTAACTCTCAAGCAATACAAAAATCGTGTCGGGCTTGTCTTTAGACCCACAAGTGAGTGCTGTGGTCTTTAACCAAGTGGTGGTCTTTCCCATTAAGCTTGTGGTCTTCCCTATTGGATGAATATTATGTCTATGGTCTTTCCCATTGAAATGTGGTCTTCCCTATTAGACAAATATCATACCCATGGTCTTTCCCATTAAATGTGTGGTCTTCCCTATTGGATGAATATTACACCTATGGTCTTTCCCATTAAGCTTGTGGTCTTCCCTATTAGACAAATACTATACCCATGGTCTTTCCCATTAAGCATGTGGTCTTCCCTGTTTATTGTTTTTGCACAAAGCTTATATATTTCCCAAATGATAGTAAATTAACAAAATATATGCAGGTATAGACCTACCCTCACTAGGACTACAACTTTCATCAAGGATAATGACTTTTTTTTTTGTAAACAAGCCCGACAACGATTTTTGTTACAGCCATATCTCACCTTCCTGTCAAAATTTTGATAAGATATTATGACATATAGACTTGCCTTGACACATACTACAACTTTCATTAAGAGGTTCAACTAAAGTAATGACTTTCATTTTTTTTCATATACCCACCAGATATATTGTTGAATTATATATGAGGATTTGTTTATGGAGGGCGCAGGGCATAGATGCAATACATATAGTGAGAAATTTTCAAAGAAATTGGCATTTGAGGAGGACCAAAGTGTTTTTTTTTGCCCAAAATTTTTGGTCATAATAGGACCCCTGACACCCCTACACCATGGGGAATTCCCAATGTATGCATGGTCTAAAGTTGGCTGGTGGTCTTTCCCATGTAAAAATTATTTTGATCCCTGGACCATGCTCAATACATTTCATTTTGGACCTTATGCACTTGGGGAAAGACCAGAAAACATTGGCCGGACCACCCAAAAAGCACCCCCTAGGTGAAAACCTCTATAGGTATAATACAACCTAAGAGGTACCTGAAATGGGGTGACCAAAGTGATGGGAGTGTAGTATGGTGTTCTGTTGATTGTGCGTTGAAATTTTTTCACAAAATCATTAAAATTCAGGATCACATACCGACATGTTGGAAACCCAAAGCTCCGATGGCTGCATTATCACGTGGCCACTGACAGGTAGCCCCTGTCAGTTATTCTCTCAATCGATAAGTGTAAAAAACAGCTTACATCTTGAATATAATAACATGTTAGTGTAGTCTGACTGTCTGGTAGGTAGATCATCCTGGCACTGATGATTCAGAGACAAACTCAGTCTCGTTGAAATCCTGTGTGGATGATCCAGCCAGAGAGAGACCAACTATACTAAACCTAAGGTCAACTTGGTAAAAGATGCAGTATACATTACGTGACACACACCGAATTCAGATGAGAGAGAGAGAGAGAGAAACTACTAAGTGTTGTTGAAATCCCGTGTGTGGTGTTGATGGATGACGGTCCAGCAACAGAGAGGCCAACTAAGTACTAAACCTAGGGACAAATTAGTGAAAAATGCATGTCTGAGCATGAGGCGGTAGGGCACCACAAATGACTAAAACCTATGTTCAGTGCCCTAGTGTGAGACTTGAATCAGAGACACGTGCAACATCATTATCTACTTATTACTTACTAGACTTGTGTCCGAGCATGAGGCGATAGGGCTCAACAAAACTAAATCATCACCCTAGTGTGTGTGAGTGAGACTCAGATCAGAGACACGCACAATGTTATTATCTACTTATCATTTAACAGATGAACGTATATGCCTAAGGCCCATTGGACTTACCTGCCTGTGGTTTTCCCAGACTCTCTGGACTCTGCATCTCATATGGCGCAGAGCCAGCATCTTGCAACTGCACGCTGGCTGGCCAAACCTGGAGTTTGAGCTGCGCAGAATGAAAAGGCTCATATTTGAATGGCAAGGTGTGTTTTTAATTACCTCTCAATCTCACCATCATTAAACACTGTGGCAGGAAACGAGCTGGGTAAGTCCATCACTACTTTCCCCTTCCCTCAATCTCACCATCATTCAAACACTGCAGCAGGAAACAAGCAGGGTAAGTCCATGTGCACTTTCCCATTCTTCCATTTGTTGATGCTATCCCGTATGTGTTCCCAATGGATAGTGCTCGCCAACCTGAAGAGCAATGCACCCATGTTAATCACTCTATTCAGGACCATCCTGCTCAGTCAGAACCTACCTCTCTCGAAGCTGTTCGTTTGGCCATCAGTGAGTGGCAATTCAACTGGGGCCCTGAAGGCTCCTGGGAGAAGCACTTCAATAATCGCCTACAACTTCATCGAGAATGGGAATCTGCATGTCGTGCAGTGGATGACTTCTTCAGCTTATGTGAGACTCATGCGCAGGCAGGGCGGGAGATACTTGGTGACTTGAAAAGCTTGTACTTGCATACTGCAGGAGCAGGAGGGCGCAAAAAGACAGGTTTCTTCAACTCTATAAGATGCTTGAGGCAGTGTTATCTGAAGTTAGATTTTTTGAAATTAAACTCGATGAGTATGCACCATCGATACCTGATTCAAGACTTTCTTCTATGTGGTACTATGAATGACCTTATTAAATTGGGTTGGTGTAACTACAATTTCACAAATGCTACATGGTTGCCGTGATTTTGATCAAGTTGTAATGGTGCTCCTGGGTGGAGTCACAGGTGAGGACTGGGCACCCTTTCATTCCAAGTCCACTGCTGAGCAGCACATTCAAACACTATATAGAATGTTATATATGCCAGGCATCATGCCTTCAGAGCCAAGATGACAAAGTTAAGAAGTGCCCCGCAAACTGGTACCTGTGTGTACCACTTTTGACTCAGGAGTTGCTACCGCACATAAAGCGAACATAGCAAACTCTATGGTGAACGTGTTCGCCATTCTACACAAAACATCACCAGAAACCATATTGCACCCTTAAATTAATGTACGCGCTACTGTAACATGGTAAGGACAGCTTGTTGAATGATATCTGAGGATTCTGAGACCGTGAATTGTGGTGCAGAAGGTCACTCTCTTGATTCATTGATTTGATGCCAAAGAACTTGTGATTCCATTGTAGGAGACATATCTATATTGGCATCACCAAAATTTAACACACTTGCACCCTTCAGTTCGACTACGGCACGAGAATATTATTAAAATCAATAGTGCAGGATCTTTCTCCAGCTATATGAACAACGCGCCAGACTTGCTTCTGGGTATTTCATTTCTTGGTTCAATCTAACAGTATGCTTAACATTTTCACACTCAAGTGACCAGTAATTAAGTTCACGAATCCAAGTTCGTATTTCAAAGCACTACAAACTAACAACACCCTAGGACAATCCCACCTGACTCATATGTGCCAACAAATCTTCAACAGGGGTCCAAATAGAGTCTTCGCTCGAACTTGATGATGGTGTGGGGGACGTGGGAGCTAGAGACCCTCCAGTCTCATGGATACATGAGAGCCAAAAACACCCACCCACACGAGGCCATGCTTCCACAGCACCTTCATTATACTTCCTCATATAGATACGTAGAGCATCTGCCCAAGTCTCCTTCCTGACCTGGACAGCACCACTAATACCCAGTGTGTGCTCAGTGACATTTGGAGACCTGTGAGCAAACACTTTCGAAGTCAAATGCATTAGCATCGACAATTTGTTATGCAAGTGTTTTTCACCGTCAACAACTCATATCAGCATACTTCCAGCATAATGATGAATACAACGTTTATCCAAACCTCAGTGAGTTGATGTGACTTCACATAAACTTAAACTGACTCAATTTACTAGGTAACTTCTTGTATAATAACTACAGACAGGCACTTGATATCCTTCAGAACAGCCAGATCAACCTCTCAGAAGTCATGTGGGATCTTGACATTACAGACGTCTTCATTTTTGACCAATGGATCACCGACAAAAAGGAGTACCTACAAGGTTTGAAAAGTGAGCCAGAACATGAGACACTCCAAATGGAGTATTGGCAGAAACTCATCAACCTCGCAGCCAGCCAGTAAGTTCTTTTTTGATCCTCAACAGTGCAATCAGATTGAATGTGTCAACAGAAGCAATCTCAACATGACAAGGTCCATTTGGACATCATTGACACCTTCGAGCACATCGTTTGGCGCATCAGATGCTGCCACAACTCGCAAACTCAAGACGACACGGAGATGCGTGCTTGAAAACTTTGAGAAGGACCTGCAGGTTGTGCAAGACCTGGAGAGCAAGCTCGGAGTGGCTCAATGCTGGGTTCCTGACACTCCAGAATGGGAAGATGCAGGGCGCTTGATTGCAAAAAGGAAGTATCAGCGTGCACTGGATGCTCTGGAGGGCCTTGTTGTGGCTCGCATCTTTGAACTGACAAAATTGAACCGCTCAGGAACTGGTGCGCCTTTTTTCACTATCTGGTTCAATAACTTGATTTTATTCAGGCTACAAGCTTCACAAGCATATTGCGAAGGCCTTACAGACACACTCCTCAGCCATCTGCTCTGCCCTTGATCATTACAATGCAGCAGCACTATCTCTAACCCCCCCTTGCAGAACCCTGAAATGGGATGAGGTCATTGAGTATGCATTCCTATCTGATTTTGATCTACTACGTGATGCCTGTCAGGATATCTCCCAGCATCCTTGGGTGACGCCTGCTGCTCGCCAGGTCATAGACCTCTATTTCAAGATGTGTTGTGCCAAGGAGTAGGTCCTGCGCCTCAACAACAAAATTCAGTGCCTGGTTACATACATTCATGACGAGGAACACTACCTACACAACTGTTACACTCAGCTTGAATTCTCTTGCCCCGCACTCGCCCACCAGATCAGCCTGCGACGTCTGGTTCGCAGTAGGGCTAACAGGTACCTCCTGCAGTGCATGGCTGACATTGCTCGGCTGCAGGAGTTTAGCAGGTCAATCAATATCGGTGAGAGCATCAAGAAGTCTCTCGTGGACAGTGCCAGCATCCCGCATGCTCAAATTCCTGCTGGACTCAATGTTCTTCTTAAGACCGTACTCAAGTAGTATCAGATCCGAAGGGCTTCGGCCTCAGCTTGTGCGCTGTGCCCCTTTCCTGAGTCTTGCCCCTTATTTCAGAGTGTTAGAGTATCGCGTCTATTGAGATGGATAAGTCTCGTAACGGATCCGTTAGGGCTTCCGGATATTGAACGTATATAGTAACGGTTAATCCGGATCGGATCCGAACTAGAAACTAACGGGTGAGGACTGTCCAAAGACAGAGGTGGATATATAGACTATAGGAATCAATCCTAAGTCTCGGAGTTGACAAGAGTATCGTACTCGAGTCCGGACGGATAACGGAGGGACTTAGAGTCCAGACAGAATGAGTGCAATCTAAGATGATATTCGAACTGATCTACTACAGCGCATGTACAAGGGTTTATATACGGATATGTCCATTGGATCTGTACCCGGGAATATGGTATATGACAGTTCTGCAGGACTTGAGTGAGTCTATCTCCTTTGGAGTTGCCTGCAACAGTCCTGACATGCAAGATGAGCTGGAGGATGAAGAAGAGGATGTGCCAGCTATCAAGGAGGCAGCGCAGGCGTTACATGATGTCCTCCATGTTTCAGTGGACTCATAAGCATTAGATTTGACATGTATACTAGTCTGTATATCATCTTTGCAACTTGTCCGAAGCGAAATGGCCAAGGGAACGTTGAAAACGCGAGCTCACTGTGGTAGACAGTGAGCTCAAAGGTTCCTGGCAAGCGCCAAGCATTGCCGAAGTCAGGAACCACATCCTTGGCAACAGTACCATTATTAATAGCACATATGGATGCTCCCGAGGTGCATACTCATAAATTCCCACAAGTCCAAGGGCAGCATTATCCAGCAATTATCCATTCAAGCGCTATATTACTTGATCACCCTCTAATTAGAGGCACACACCCGGTCCACAGGTACCTCTCATTACAGGACCTACGTGGGAGTCACAGGTGATCAAATTGATTAAGTGTCAATAGGAAGCTTAATCACAGATATAGTAATGTTACCATAATGGGAAATCAGATCTGGTTCAGCAAACTTAGCACTAACTACTATATTAAGTACAAATACTCCCATGTGCCTTGTATCCTCCCTAAGATCTTTGAACTGGAAGCTATTGAGTACTAGGTAATCAGCCTTGTGGTTGCCATTGATCAAAGTGTGCATTACATTGGCTGTGTACCTAAATGTGTGATGTCTGGGTTGTGGAAATTGAATGTAGTTCTGACATATTGAAGCACTTCCAGATTTGGCTGAAATAGTATGATAGCATGGTTATGATAGTCATTGTGATTAATGGGTTTGATCTGCTCATATCTTCTACTTTCTCTTCCTCTTTTATAGCTTCAGCTATACTACTACTATCTATAGTTTTATAGAGCACCATTAATTAAATTCAAACAGTTGTCCACCATCTTTGAGACTTGACTGACTACATAAAACTATATTTCTTTGAGGATCCATCTACAATTTGATGACTTGCCTCATCAGGTACCATTAATGTTACTACTTCTAAAGCAATGGCACTATTTTAGATACTTTTTAATGGAAATTGTTGCTACAGGAACTTTCAGCACATATAATCTACCAGTTCTTTGCAATTATCTTGGTTTCTTTTACTTTTGCAAGGTACTACTAACACTTCCAATACTTGATCATTTGTAGGACTATTGCCAAATTCTAACCAGGTACCTGTAGGGCTCTCATATACAGATACCAGATTATGTACTCACCAAGGCCATCCTAGTATAATATATTGAATAACACCTTTTTATCTATGCAAATGTCTGCGATAGCAAGTACCAATCCAATATGAACAGGAACCTGAAACATGAGTCCCTTTAGATCTCCAGCACCTCCATTTGCATCAAGAAGTACCAGTATTCTACTCTGGTTAACTGGCAAATTGACAAACTGTTTGTACATCACTTCTGGGACTATATTTAGCTGACTTTCAGTATCTATCACTGTTTTCAGATTGTTCCCATGGATTGTGATTTTGTCTTTGCTTTGGGACTTTCTGTGATTTAAAAACCTTCAGCCATAGACTCATTCCTCTTTGGTGTTTCATACACCAGGTATGTGTCCTTTTTACTGATCGATTAGGCTTAATTGGTTCAGCCAGAAGTCTGGCCAACTCCTTCAATACTCCTAAGATTTCTCCTACAGTAATTTCTACTCAGTTTAGGTTTGATCACTTAATCAGTGGGCATATGAATCTTTGTATTGACTTTAGGTGCATCCTTAGCATTTTCTTTCTCTGCTTTCATGCTAACTCTTTAAACTTTCCTTTCAGTGTGCTATTTTCCATGACAACATTGTCGTCCTGTGCATCATACCATGCCCTTTCCTCAACACTGGATGCAAGTGTAGATTTTTCATATGTCTATATTCTTTTAGGTTTATCTTTTCTTTCCTCTTTTTCTCCTGCTCCAAAAGGTATATTTTCCTCTTCTTCTGTTTTCTTGGGTTTTCTTTACTGACTCGGTATTTCTTTCAGCTTCAGCTATCTTAAATTCATGTGCCTCGAGTACTAACAGCTTGGGTGGAGGCAGTGGGTTTATTTTGCAGGTGTAAGAGATTCATCTAAAATTTTTGAAGGCAGTGGCCTCAATATTAGTGTGTATTGTCTGTCTCTTCTTAATTTGTATCACTGACATTTATCTTTTTTATTTTCTTCTTGCACATTGCCTCTCTTTGATGGATAGATACCATCAAAAACTTCATTTCTCTTGTGGGTACCCTCCCACTAGGTTCCATATGCTAGGTAAGCTCTTAGTTCCTCCTCTTCACTCTTATCATCACTCATATACCCTGATATCCAACAGTTTTCTCTTGCTTCTAGCTCACTCACACTGTCTACAGCATCTTCTTCAACTTCCCATTTGATAAAGTGAGCGTTTACTGATCTGTGCCAATTTTTCTATGTGCTAATTATCATCTGACCTAGCCATTTTCTTAGAGACAATTTGTCCAGCAACATAATTAGTCCATTCCTCTTACTTAGTCAAAGACAGAGAGAATGCAATGCAAGAGGTTTGAGCATGAGAGGATGACTCATGATAAGGCAGAGGCAGAGAGGATGGAGTGCAAGAGGATAGTGAATATGTCATGTTGCATGAGTAGCGACGGGTTATTAGGGGGAGAGTAAGTATGGTATATAGTGGGGACACTGCCCATAAAGCCAAAATGGAAGCCATTAGGAATATGTGTGTATCCGTGTATAAGACCTGAAGTGCTAGCTTCTGGCACTTGAATCTCCACCTGTCAGCCATGTTTTTGAGGGCATCTTCCCTGTTGATACCTTCTGCAATGAGTGCATTGAGCCACCCGATGTATGCAGTGAAGTTAGGTTGCACTTCAAGCACTGGGTCGGTTAGAATTTGGTTCATGATGACTAAAAGTACTATGGTTTGTTAAAATGTGCTAGGTTTGACTGACTTGGTGAAGGAAAGAAAAAAAAGGATGAAAGACAAAATCGTCGAGGACAACTAAGAGGAGAGGATGCGTTGATTGAACATAGAACAGGTAGTCCAGGCAGGATATAGTTCCAGAGGTATGGAGTACAAATAGGGGCTACATCAGATGCAGTCCGATGTATAAACAAACAGAGTTAGACTACACTAAGTAGAGTTGGAGAGACAGGAATTGCATCAAAGTCTGGAAGGAGAGTAAGTGCCAGAAAGGTAAAATTCTGGCCTAGGGAATCAATCCCTAGACTTGGAACAGAGACATAGGGAATAAATCTGAAGGTTCAGATTTCCAGCCTAGGGAATCCATCCCTAGGCCTTGATGTTAGATGGACCAAAGTCTGGAGGAAAATTGAGTCAAGAGAGAGCAATGTCTAAGATGATATTCAAACTGAGGAACTCTAGGAGTTGTACAGGAGTCTATGTACTAGAGGACATATGAAAAGACCAGTAAGCAGAGGAACTAAGGTTATGTATGAGAATGTGGAAACACATTAGTAAGTGAGACAGAACATAAGTAAATGAACTTGGAGATGAAGTATATATAAGGATTAACCAGCAAGACAGAGATAGAGATAACTGATAGCCAGAAAGGCAGACATGTCTAAATGGGGATAGGCGCAGGATGTTGGATGGAAGGTGGAAATAGGTTCAGAGATGGTTATAGTTAATATACAGAGATCCAAATGTCTGGGTTCCAGAGTTTTGGAGATCTAGGTGGACATGGAACATGGATATGATTCTACCCCAAATATTGTCTGAGATCATGGACAAGGTAAAGTCTAGATGTCTGACTAGATAGAATGTACTCAGACCGGTGTGAGAAACACAACAAGAAGAGAACTGTAAAGTACTCTTCAAATGTTGAGTCAAAATTACTATGCCTAGCTGCTATTCGACTCTAAAGGGTTTCTGTACTAGACTCAGAGCTCAGAGAGTAGAATATATCATCAAGCAAAAGACTGTGATTCAGACTGGTACTGGCAGTGGTGAAAGGGAGATATGATTATGTAAGCAGTAAAAATGCAAACATAAACTAAGGAAAGTGGTAGTAAGTGAAGGTAAGTAAATAGGGGGAATATCAGCCCAGGAAAAACTATATTGTCACACCGGACAGGATAGGGAACAGATGGAGCAGGCTAGCTGTGGAGGTCTGGTGGTCAGGGGTAGTTAGGTAGTGGGGCAGATCCTGGACAGCACAATGGACAGGGAACTGGGAATAAGTCAGGATAAGGGGTCTGGAAATAGGCATGGAAGACATGGGAATATTATTGAATATAGGTCCAGAGAGTACAGAACAATCAAAATTATGCAAACATTGTAATGATTTGTTACTTACTGTATGTAATAAGACATCCAGTATGCAGAACATGAGGACACATATAATAAGACCTACAACTGATCAGTAGCAACAATTATGGACTAATAACACACTAGTGGAAGTAGATGGACATAGATAGGATATAAGAGGATGGCATACTTAAGCATCAGACCAGATATGTGATAGCACACTGTAGGTGAAGAGTGCACCTAAGGTGAATAAGTCATTGGATAAGGAAAATAGTGATTAGTATTTAACTCCTTTCCCTAGACAAGAGAATGAATAGTGCTGATGTTCATATGTACCTAGCACAGATACAATTGTCACACTAATCAATAGCCACCAACTGTCCCCCATATTGATAATAACCTCAAAGGCAAGAGAGCCTATGTCTATGATACTACCTACCATCTTCAGGTCAGTAAAGTGAGCACTACAAGCCCTGATAGTGACCAGAAGCCAGCTGTATCACAAAAGTGGACACCCAACTGGTTTGATGCAGGTCACTAGACAGCTTTGAACTTGTTCTGCATTTTAATCCTAGTAGCAGGGGTTTTGAGGTATTTTTGAGGCTCATTTATCCTCACCTCCTCCTCAGTAGCATGTTATATATTTGATTATATGAGTGGCCAAATACTTCAAGGATTTTTTAAATTTTTTCTTGCTGTTCCAGCATACGGAAATGATATTTTAAGTCATTTTACACTTTTGATGTTTTTGACTTATTTCTCTACAAGTTCTGATTCCAAACTTAAATTTCTTCCTAGGCCTTCAAGAGGAGCTTGTATATGCCATTATAAAAAC